CCCAGTATTTGCATTACCAAATTTTTTAAAGTTTTTCTACCTAGAAATGGATGCTTGTTCTTCAGGTTTATGAGTAGTTTTGTCATAAGAAATAAGGCCTATTACCTATTTAAGTAAAGCTTTGGGTCCTCAACACATCGATTTATCTATCTATAAAAAAGAGTATCTAGCTATTTTGATGACAGTTTCTAAGTGGAAACATTACCTTGAAGGTGGACTATTTGTTATCAAGACTGATTATAAGGCCTTGAAATATCTCTTATAGCAAAAGCTAACTCCCACTATTCAAAAGAAAGGGTTTACTAAATTATTGTGTTTGAATTATACTATTCAATATAGGAAAAGTAAAACAAATATAATGGCAGATACTCTATCAAGGTAACATAAAGAAAAAGAGGGGTTGCATGTTCTGCATTTTACCACTCTTATGCCTAAATGGGTAACTAAAGTGGAACAGAGTTATGAAAGAGATACAACTACTCAAGAGAATATCATAGCTTTTATTATAAATTCTATATGTGATTCTGACTACTTTTTCTATAATGGAGCACTCACAAATAAAGGTAAAGTTTATATTGAAAGTCAGGGTTTGATGAGAACTTAAGTATTACAACTATTTCATTATTCACCCTAGAGAGGTCATTCAGTAATCCAAGCAACCTATTATAGATGAAACTCTATTTTTATTGGCCTAAAATGATGAAGCAAATACAAGATTATGTTCAATAGTATGATGTGCGTCAAAGGAATAAAAGTGAGCTTGTTGCTTATCCTAGGTTACTACAACCAATTTCAATTCCTACACAGACTTGAGAAGTGATCACCATGGACTTTGTGGAAGGACTGCTTCAATCTCAGAAATTCAATTGTATTATGGTCATCATTGACAAATTTACCAAACATGCATATTTCTTGCCTCTTTCTCAACCTTACACTGCCTTAGATGTGGCTAAGGCCTACTTAAGTCAAATTCATAAACTTTATGGGGCTTCAAAAAATGTTAATCAGATAAGGATAAACTTTTCACTAGTTCTGTGTGGTAAGCATTAATGAAGCTATTAGGTACTTCTTTACAGTTTAGCACAGCTTATCACCCAGAGTCAAATGGCCAATCTAAGAGATTAAACCAATACCTTGAGCAATACCAAGGTGTATATGCTTCCTTAAGCTGAAAACTTTGATTCAATGGTTAGCTTTAGCTGAGTGGTGGTACAACACTATTTATCATGCTACCATAAAAATGAGTCATTTCTAGACTTTATATAGATATCTACCTCCTAGGTTTTCTTAAAATGTCAATAATGAAGCAAGAGTATTAACTGTGGAAGACTTGTTTAAAGAACGAGAAAATTTAAGTAAGCTACTACTTGATCAATTAGGAAAAGCTCAACACATGATAAAGTTTTATACTGATAAAAACAAGACTAAAATGGAGTTTCAGGTAGGGGATATGGTGTATTTGAAACTACAACCTTACAAGCAAACCTCTATTGCGTTAAGAAAAAATTTAAAGCTTTCATCAAGGTATTATGGTCCTTATCTTGTAATTGTAAATATTGGAAAAGTAGCTTATAAGTTGCAATTACCAGAATTTTCAAAGTTGCATCTTATTTTTCATATTAGCCTCTTAAAAAAAAAGGGTCAGCACTAAGGATGTCCCTAGTATAACCCCTCTTGAAGTGGGTGAGAATGGTCAACCACTGGTATATCCAATTGCTATGCTAGATAAGCGAATGGTGAAGAGAAATAACAAGGCAATCACTTAGATACTAGTGAAGTGGTCTAATCTGTGTCTAGAGAATGCGACATGGGAGGATTTCTTAGTCTTTAAATCTCAATTTTCACTTTTTGATCCTTGGGGACGAAGATGCTTTCAAGGGAAGGGTAATGAGATGAAGTTAGAATCTGACAAGGATACCAATATGGCGCTAAAGGAAACTACCAATAAAGATATCCAAACTTTATTCTGCAAGCATTCTAAAAAATAGGTCCCATTGGCATGATATACATTAACATAAATCAAAATAAAGTAAAAATGTTTTACCTAAATGTTTAATTTTAAAGTCAAAGTTAAGAGCTAGCAAAAAGATTGAAACACATTGTCATTAAATGTGTTGGCATATCGAAGAATTGGCAAACATGCAACCAAAGATGGAAATCCACTATATTTCAAAAATTCAAACAAAAAGGAGAAAAAGAAAATGGCTTTGAAGCCTTAAAATAAATGCTTATCCATAAAATATTTGGGATATAGGTATTTGTACCTTTCACACCAATTCCTCTATCTTTTCATCTTTTCCCACCAACTTTTATAATTTCATCCTTTCCCACTAACTTCATTTATTTTGATATAATGATAAATAAAAGAAAGAACTTTTAAACAAAGAAAGGAATCAAACGGTGGGGATATAGGTATTTGTATGGATAAAGGATCCACCATCTTTTTTTTTTTATTATTGTATCCTTTCAATTTAACTTGTCTCAAGAACCAATTATCAAAAAACTTGTTTCAAGAATCATAGATAATGATAAATTTTGACCTCGATAATATTTTAAATTTCTAATGGCTTTATTATTATAATATATAATACATATATATATATATATATATTATAAGCTATTAAAAATGGAAAAAAATAAAAAATAAATTTTTGAAAAAAGATTTGGGTGCCACGTGAACACTCTCTTCTTCTTCTAAAATCTACAACTTTTAATTTATATATATTCAAGGTAAGGTAGAACACCATAAATTTGTTTTTGATCCAATCTTTATTTTTTTAAAAAATTATTGATTAGATCCCTAATAAAAAATATACATATATGATTAGAACGCTTGAAAACCAATTGGATATGTGTTGTTTTGTTATTAATATCTTCATTGACTTTTTTCTTACATAATTTATTTTTAAAAAGTAAAAAAAAAAAAGATATGGATTGTTTTATCATTTTTATCTTCATTGATTTTTTTTTTAACATAACTTATCTTTAAAAAAATAAAAATAAAAATAAAAAACTAAAGACTTAAAAGTTTTTAAATATCTAATAAAAATAAAATTAAAAATAAATAAAATCAAAAAATCAAAACTCTCTTGCTCTCAAAACTCTACAACTTTCATTTTATGGATTTAGAAAAATGATATTCCTAACCAAATATACACGACAATGTTATACGTACGCCATGATGAACCAAACTAAGTATGATATATTACTATAATCTTTGTAGGTAAAAAGTCCTATTCCTAAAAATAATATAAGATATCCTAAACCAAATGCTCTCCCATCAGAAGAAATTTTCTTAGAATCTGAAGTTTAGTTGTGCAAATTTAGCCTTAGATCCATGGATGGGATTTCTAAGTTAAGATTGTGAATTAAACCTAATTTTCATTGGTGGTTGGAAAATGAGATGTCTAAAATCTAGATTTTATTCTTAATAATCAAACTTTGATTTGGCAATTATTGCGTATCAATGGATGCATATGACTCAAGTTTTAACTCATCTTTCCTGTTTGATCATGTCTATAAATGCATACATTAAAAGAGAAATGGAAAACCTTTTTTTTTTATATAAAAGAAGGTTACATGTTAGAATAAAGAAGTGGATTTTATATGTTAATATTCAAATTTTAAAATGATAATTTTAAAAATAATTGTATGAATTAAATTTTAATTTTTTTATTTTAAAAAGCAACGTTGATTTAATTATGAATCAACAAAGAACATCATGTTACTTAAAAAAAAAAAAAAAAGGACTTGTATTTTATAATGGGAGTTAATTATTGGATCAAACTAAGAACAAATCCATGGCTACAAGGAATTGAGATAAATCATTGGCCCTAATTTCATTAGACAGCTTTGGAATTTTCTGTAGAAAAATTAGAAACTCAATTGGTGTGAGATCCTGAGCCACCAGATCTAAAGGGTTAAAAGCTGGGAAACTTGGACTTGTGCATCTGCATACAGATTCCTTGTCTATTGGTCCCAAAAGTGCAAATGCCATTGCCCATTGTCAGTTTGTAACTCTCGTTATCTGCCATCACAACAATTGCTTCTCAAAGCCTTGGATGATTGGAGTTTGGAAAATTAAACAAAAGAGTAATACTCAACTGTCAAATGAACTACACGTAACATTGGGAAATATTAGTTCATGTAACAATATCCTTTTTTGGTGGTTAATGTATTGATAAGAATTTAGCCTCTTTTGGTATAAGAGCGAGATTAGATTATTAATAATAATGAGATTAAAAATAATCATAATGATAAAATTGATAATTTAATAAGATTGAAATTACGTTAATAAAATTAAAATTAATAGTAAAATAATTTAATTCTTTAAATATCGATGATAGTGTGATAAGTGCATGGGATTAAAAATTTATTAAATAAAGTTTGTGGTTTAAAGTCCAAATAATATTCATAAAAATTAAGATAATAGTGTAATAAAAAAAAAGTTTGCCTAACATTAATGAGATTAGATGTTACAACTATTTTCCTAAAAAACTTTCTTAGTTCTAATGCCTTTTTCTATTTTTTTTTTTCTTATAGCTATAACAATTAGAGAATAAATTTATAGAACCTAGAATGTGGGCCAAGAAGCACCGAGGCAGGACACCGAGAACTTGAGGGACAAGAGCTACCAGCATATCTTTTATGATTATTAATATTATAATTAATCAATTATAATTTAAAATAACGTTTTATTAAAATTTTACATAATATTTGTATTTGTAAGTGATGAATTTTTATATAATTTTAGGTGAAATGCACGGATAAGTTAACTACAATGCATAGTACCAACACCAAAGACCGATTTGTTTATTTTATAATAATGTCAACGTTGTTTCTTGTTCTAAGATGTAGTTGCGACAAGTATCAAGCCTTGAATGAACATTGGGATCATCATCATCATCATTATTATTATCTCAAATGACATTTAAAAGTTTTTTCTGCTATAGTCTATAATTGATCGATCAGGTTTCCATGGAAGTTGAGGTTCAGAGAGAGAAATACCTTATCTGAAAATTTTGAGTATAGTCCAAGCTTCTCTTGGTGGCACCAAAGAGACCAAACTCTAATTTCCTCCACTCATAACACACCCCTATCTGGTTAGGAAAAGCCAACAACTCCTTTTCTCTATCAACCACTTACTAGACTTTTTTCTGCCATAAAATAAGCCTGCTTGGTCATTCACTCACTCTCCCTTTTTCTCTCTTTCGTTCTCCTTCTACAGGTAATCCCGGCAAGACACTTTCCGATTCCTGCTCCGGCCATTTTCAAGCAGTTCCCAGGTTAGTTTCTCTGCATTTCATGTCAGGAAGTAAGAAGGATTTGGACTATCATGGTTTAAAATCTTGTGGTTGACTTGAGGCAAATAAGTATCCAATGCCTTTCTGCAAAATGATCATGCATATACCAGAATCTGTTTCAATGATAAATGAAATGAGATATGATTGTGAGGTTCCATTATTTATGGTGCATACCAAATATAGTTATTTGGTCACATTTTCTACAAGTCTACCCTACCCGAGTAAGTACTTAGTAGTAGTATTTTTCAAATTCACATTACTGTGTATATGTTCAGTTATGCACGTAAATTCTATTTCAGATCTCGCTTACATTCCCTATCTCTCTTTGCCCAATAAGGTTTCAACTTTCAACCTCTAAGGGTCCGTTTGGACGAAAGATAGACTGGTTCTAATAAGATTGAAAATAAAGATAAAGGTGAGATTAGTTATTATAATTATCAAATTGTATACTGCAGAGATGAAATTAAAATTAATGGTCTAAATTAGCTTGGACCCAAACACCGGGGACAATGAGATTCGACATGACAGTCCATTGCCCAACCAAGGGCAGTAGACTCTCATAATTGAAAATTCTTTTATTTTTTCAAATTTTCACTAAGGCAGTTGACTGTACTAGATATGAGAGTCGACTGCCCAAGGTTCCAATGAGTCAATCCTTTCCTTCCAATGAAAAACTGAAAGGACGGTGCAATTGGAGGCTCCAACCTTGTTGGATTCCATAAATCTAATGTGTTTCCCCTGTGAACCTTTCGCTCATTGAAAGAAGGGCTTTTTTTTTTCCTGTGGATAAAGAATGAGTGATTGAAATTTGGAGTTTCAGACTAGCAGCTCCCCATCAATTAAGGAGGGAGCAAAATCACTAGGTCTAGCTCCCCATCAAGGCTTGTGCATGATCCATAAAGCTAGAGATAGTGAATATAAATTCTTTGCTTTGTACTACTTATTTGCTAAACAATTTTGTATTAAGACAGTCATTTGGTTGCTGTCCGGGATTTAATCTGAACATGATAATTCACTGCAGAGAACAGATGAAGAAAGTGGTCTTTTATGTACTTATCAAGAGTTCATTTCATCCTTTGTGATCTTGTACAAACTTTAATGAATACCATGCTTGGTAGAAAGTTAGGTGTCATTTAAATCTACAATTTGATCTAGTAGTAGCCCTTATGCTGGCGAGAGTAAGGTCTTTCCTTGTTGCGTAATCTGCAATCAAAATTTGATTCTATGCTATTGCTGTTATATTTGAAGGCCTTGAGTTTTTCTTAATCTATTAGTGTATTTTCTGATAGATCTTCTCAACTCTATCACAACATAACAGGATGATAAACGATACCATTTTTTTGTTTAATATGTTGAGGTTTAAGTAGTTTTTACACTTGTTTTGATTTCTCAGTTGGGAGAAGGGGAAAAATGGCACAGATTTTAGCACCCTCAACTCAATGGCAGATGAGGCTACCTAAGACCTCGACCTATGGAAGTCCCATTGCAACAAAAATGTGGAGTTCTCTGTTATTGAAACGAAACAAGCAAGGAGCAGCTAAAAGCTCTGGCAAATTTAGTGTGCTTGCCTTGCAGTCTGAAAACAGCACCGTCAACAGGCTTGAGAAGCTACTAAACATGGACATCACTCCATACACTGAACAGATCATTGCTGAATATATTTGGTACATCATCTTTGCTAACACATGAATCTATGTTTCAAATAATACTTTTCTTCTTAATGCAATGGTTAAGTAATTGGATAAGCAATTCTGAAACCGATGTTCAAATATTAGATTAAAGGTGGTAATTTTTCTTGTGATCATACCTGAATCACTGCTGTTTCTGTATCGAACAGGATAGGAGGCGGTGGAATTGATTTGCGTAGCAAGTCCAAGGTAAGAAAAATACTAGAACTAAAATTGTGTAATTTTCAATGGGGTGTTTAGGTTTTTCTTATGTTTCTTTGGGCCTCATACACTTTGCAGACAATAGCAAAGCCAGTTGAACATCCCTCTGAACTTCCCAAGTGGAACTATGATGGATCAAGCACCGGACAAGCACCTGGTGATGATAGTGAAGTTATTTTATAGTAAGACCTTTTAAAAGAAAAGTAAAACTTTCTTTATTGCTTGTTATCATCAAAACACCAATTTGACTGAAAACTCGATCCAGCCCTCAAGCAATTTTTAAGGATCCTTTCCGGGGAGGTAACAATATCTTGGTGAGTATCATCCAAGACATGTAATTAAAATTTTCTAGTTAATTGTTTTAACTGAAAGTTTTGTAAACTAAATTATATAGTGAAGTTAATATTTTCTTATGTGTTTTACAAAGGTGATTTGTGATACATACACACCAGCTGGTGAGCCCATTCCCACAAACAAGCGCCACAGAGCTGCTGAGATTTTCAGTAACAAGAAGGTGGTAGGTGAAGTACCATGGTACGAATTACCTTATTTCGACTGTCTCATTCTTTTGCTTAAAGTTGGATTATTTGAGAATTAAATTGTAATCTTATGTTTGCTTTTATTCTGTCTTGGCATTCATTATCGCTTTATTTCTATTATTATCATCATCAATTTCCTTTTAATGCCTAATGAGTAATTTACCAAAGTCCAAATCAAATTCCTTAATTGCCACACAAGGTGAAACCATTCTTTGCAGCACTGATTCTTATGCGGATTAAAAAAGGAAATGTCCTCATGTGATTGTGCCTTTCTGTTCAGGTTTGGGATTGAGCAAGAGTACACCTTACTTCAGCAAAATGTGAAATGGCCGTTGGGTTGGCCTGTTGGAGGCTACCCTGGTCCTCAGGTAATAATATAACTCAATTTTTATGAGGGTAAAACAGTTGCAGAGGTCTGTAAATTCATGATGTAATAATATAGTCTTGCATGCGCTTATATATGAACATGCTTCTTTGATGCGAAATTCAGGGTCCTTATTACTGTGGAGCTGGAGCTGACAAGTCATTTGGGCGTGACATCTCAGATGCTCATTACAAGGCTTGTTTATATGCCGGCATTAACATTAGTGGCACCAATGGGGAGGTTATGCCAGGCCAGGTCTGTTGCCTTCGAGGCCTTCTCATCTAGCTAATGAAAATGTATTGTTGCAGTCATGCTTGTTTGTTCATTAATTATCACCACTTGATTTTGTAAATTACTGTGCAGTGGGAGTATCAAGTTGGCCCAAGTGTTGGTATTGATGCTGCGGATCATATCTGGTGTTCTAGATACATTCTTGAGGTATTTCTTCTCCTTATGATTTGGCTATAGTTTTGTGGAGGCTTTGCCATTGATCACCCTTATATAGATGTCAATTAATCAAGAATAAGTGTATCAATTTTTGTTTGTTCACCCTTTTCTTGTTGAAAGTTGAAAATTTGAATAACTTACCAATGTTTTTTTTCTCTATTCTTACAGAGAATCACTGAACAAGCTGGCGTTGTTCTCTCCCTAGATCCTAAACCAATAGAGGTAATGTTACAATAATTCGGAGATGTTCAGTTCTTACTATTAGTCCATCAGAGCGTTGCTCAATTCTCCTTTCTGTTGCTAGGGAGACTGGAATGGTGCTGGATGCCACACCAATTACAGGTACTTATTCCAGACTTTTCTTAGTTTTAGTAGCAAACTTTGTAAATTTATATAGAAGCACTTTATTCACAACAATAAAATTTTCTTAACACAGTACAAAGAGCATGAGGGAAGATGGAGGCTTTGAAGTTATAAAGAAAGCAATCTTGAATTTATCGCTTTGCCATAAGGAACATATTAGTGCCTATGGTGAAGGAAATGAGAGAAGATTGACAGGAAAGCATGAAACCGCCAACATTAACACGTTTTCTTGGGTATGTTTCATGAGATATCCATTCATAGTAATGGAAGCCATGGAAACTTTAAATACTTTCATTAGCGTTCATTAAATTTCTTATATTTCAACTTGCAGGGAGTGGCTAATCGTGGTTGCTCAATCCGAGTTGGGCGTGACACTGAGAAGAATGGAAAAGGTACTACCATCAATAAAATTTTTGAACAAATCTTGGAAAGGGATGTTAAGTACTCTAATTTGTTGATAATAAACTTCATAATGTTGTTGTTTCGTTGTTCATTTGTTAGGTTACCTGGAAGACCGGCGCCCGGCTTCGAACATGGACCCCTATGTTGTGACATCTTTGCTGGCAGAAACTACAATATTGTATGAGCCAACACTTGAAGCTGAAGCACTTGCTGCTCAGAAGATTGCTTTGAAGGTCTAATGCAGGCATTTTGCAAAGCAATTTGGTTTTGTCAGCTCATTCGCAGGGATGGTTTTTGCCCTTTTTCTAATTAGGCTTTTAGGGAAGATCCCTGTAAATAAAGGGCTTGTCAAATGTTGTTCTCAAATGGATTGTCTTGTAAATTAGAATTAATGGTCTTATCAACTATCTTCTGTTAATGGATATTTTTTATGTTTACTCGTTGAAGATTCTTGATTATTATTATTATTTTTTTCTTTTCAAAAGGGTGGGGCAGTCCTTTGCGTTCCTCGGCTTTCTTCGAATTTTGAATAATTTTTTTTTCTATGAAAAAATAGAAGATCATCTCCTCAGCAGCCTGCCAAAAGTATACAAATTGCTCAACTTTAATGACTCAGCCACACATAAGTATCAACAAAGCAGTGCCAAATTCAAAGCAAGAACTATGGATATTTCAAAAATAAAAAAAATTTAGAAGAAATTATTTTTTCTGAACATTTTCAAAAATTCTATTTAAACATTCAGATAAAATTCATAAATTTTTAAATTATTTTTATATAAAAATTGTTTGATACACTAACTGTGGATTTTTAAACCTAACAAATGAAGTTAAGATAATGATACATGTATCATTTTTTTAAATTAATTTTTTTTAATTTATAAAAAAAATATGTCACCATCTTAATTTTATTTATAAAATTAAAAACTTTCAATATTAATATATTTAATAATTTTTAATATATATTATACGAAAAAAAATGTTGAATTGTTTACCTATCATAAGTACATAAAAACTTTAAAGTGTTTTTTTTTTTTTTTTGGGAGAAGTTAGATCTCCAAAATATATCCATTGAATGTATGCTATACAAAATACTTTTAAAAAAATGAAAAGTTGGCCCAATGTAGCTAATGTTATATGAGCTAATGTTATATGATTTTACTTAAGGTGCTATTGCGGTAGTTGCACGATGGCCATCATGCAACTTTCTTATAGAAAAAGAAGTTTATTGCAACTGATGTTCAACTTTTGTTTGATAACGCATTGAAAAATTTTAATACATTAAAAATTAAATCTTTTAATATTAAATTTAATTTAATTAAGGTCAATAATTATAAGCAAGGAGGAAGTCAGAAATTTTTTTCTAAAGGGAGCCAAATTAAACTTCATTTCATACAAACGAATAGCAAAATATTCCTAAATCGGGGATGTAATAATTATCTTGGATCTCTTTCTAATGAAGCAAAATCAATCTCATTAGATAAAATTTTTTTAAAGCTTTTTTGAATGAATTTTAGAATTTAAACTTTCAATATATTAGGGATAGAAATAGATGACATTCATGTTTAGTGTTTTTTTTTTTTTTTAATTTGCATCAATAGTTGATCTCTTTTACTTCTAAACAATAATTCATAAATGGAGTTAAAATTTAAACTAACAAAATATATTGATAACACAATATTCAATCATACTAAAAAATACTTAATACATATATGCATGAATAAAAAAATAGAAGATAATAAATATAAATAAAAATGATATACATGTCTTCAATTGTAAATATAAATAAATAAATAAAATGTAATAGACATGATTATACATACTCATAGGTTGGGATGGCTTAATATGATATTTCAGCTTTTTAAGTTCAAGTCTGGCCTAATTTTTTGCCTAAACCTATTTCTACGTATAATAATAAATTATAAGTTCACCCGAAGGTATTTAAAATTGTGAAAAAGAGATTTTTTTTTTTGGTAAATTATTAATTTAATTAATTGTAATTAAATTTATGAGTCATTTGATCTTGAGTCCAATTTAATTTTGTTGAATGCAATTTAAAATTGGATCTTTGTTTTATATAAAAAAAATGTGTCTTATCATATTATAAGTAATAAAGCAAATGAACCTTATCCATTATAAAAAATAAAAAAATGGATTTTATCCCATTAAGATAAAATATATTTTTTTAATTTTGAAATCAGGCTAGGCCTGGATCTTAAATTGTGAAACTCAAGCCCAGGCCTATTTTTTTATCGGAACTCATTTATTTGTCCAAGCCCATTTAATGGATTTAATATCATGTCCAAACCTTTCAAAATTATAGGCGGGCTTTCAGGTTCGAGCAAGCTACTTGACCCATGTGCAGGTCTAGACATGACAAAAAATGTTTGAGAATAAGCATGAAGGTCCTATGCATATGTGTTTTATCACATAATTCTATGGAACCCTAATTATCCTCACCCCTCTATGGATATTCAAGCCTAGTATTTGCCACACTGGTAAGATAGATCTTAGATTTCAAGGTATAATCAAATCTTTTTTAAAGTCTCCTATAATTAGAGTAAAAAGCAAAAAAAATAAAATAAAATAAATTATATAGATTGAAGGATATACAAAAGCAAAAAGTTAATTCCATTACCTAAATGTCCTAAAGGCCAGTATAAATCTTTTTTGGACTTCATTCATAACTTTTTAAACTTTTTCATTTCAAAGCCCGATCAAGTTTATTTTGTTTTGATTTGTCTTTCTTATTTTTATCTTTATCTATATTATTTTTGAAAAAGAAAGGAAAATTGAAAAAATTAAACAATAGAGAAAAATCCAAATTTAGCATTGAGTTCTTGTTGAATTGATATTCTTGATGAATTGAAATTCAAAATAAAATTTTGTCTAAATGTTTCTAAAACTTTTTTCAAATTTAGTATTAATCTCTATAAAAGATAATTGGAGGAAGAAAGAAAAATGGGCTCAATTCACAAGAAGAAAATCCACTGGCTTAGTTTTCAATCCTAAAAAACCAATTTTTATAAAAGCAAAAATCTAGGCCTCAATTATCAACACAAAAAGCCTAGAAGCATAGAAGTTTCAGTTTCTAATTCGATAGTCCATTGCCTCTATCAGAACCACTTTCCATATCTACTAGAGCACCACTGCATCAGCATCCTATTTCCTTCGTTGCTACCCCATTACCAAATTGAAACCACTGTGCAAACTACCCACAGAAAAGCCTTCCTTTTCAATTCCATTTAGCACCAATTCCCTCAAAAAAAGCACAAACACACATCCACAACATAAGCCCACACCTGAACCAATCCAAAATAGCAAAAAAATCAACTAACGAATATAGTTGACAATTCAGTACTTCATAATACAATTAGAAGAGAATCAAGGCACATGCACTATAATTAAAAAAAGAAGTAAATTTTGGGCAATGATCAATTTTAAACAATACATTATTCCTAATAGCATTAAGAAAAGAACCTAAAGGCAAGAGATGTGTAAAACCCAAAAAGCACCATAATAGACAGAAACAAATACAATCAAAAACCAAGCCTCAATCAACCACTTACACTTAGATCTCATAACAAAGAGAAATTCAAGAAACCATTTACCATCATTTATTACCACAACCTAGAGCAATTAAGTAACTCTCAAACCGATTTTGCCACCATATTTAACAGTTGGATCTTGCACTTTTTCACCACTAACATTAGTTGTTTGTTGTCGATAAGCCTTACCAACACAAAGCTAAGGAAAAGGTAAGGTGAAATCAAAGACGAAGAATTGAAAAAGGGAACTAGAAATGAAAAGAATTTTTCAGTTTTAGTTTAGCTCACTTTTGAGAGGTTTCAAGTCATCAAATTTATATGAAGTCGATAAGAAAACAGCGAATCCATGGATATTTAAACTTAAGTATCCAGGAAAAAGTAAAATATTTGATGGAAGAATAAGGGATCCTTTTAAAAATCTATTATAAAAAGAAAACCTTATATCTTGAAATTAATTTATCAAGTTGATGATAAAATACATAGGCGTTTTAGTGGACATTAAGCACTTGTTATACAACAACCACTTAGAGAATATTAAATTAGTTGGTATAAAAATTTTTTAAATCATCACAAACCTTCCTTTTTTCTTTTTTCTTTTTTATTTTTAGATTATTTTATGATGATTTTTTAACTTTCTAGATACATATGTAGAAATAGAAAAAAAAATAAACTAGAACCAACATCTTGTATATCATGTCAATGACATGCCATAGATGTTAAAATGGAATTGAGACGTCAGGGATATTGAAATGGAATTGAGATCTGGATGGAATATAAAGAAATAGATCCATTTTAAGGTTTCTTATGAAATAAGGCATGTAACAGAGCCATTACGAAAAAGTTCCAAGGGTTACAAAGAAAACTTTGAGTTCATATTAGTTATAGGTTGAGAACGAAAATTGAACTCTATGAGATCTAATCTCCGATTGTTCCTCAATAGCTCAACGATAAGCTATTGGTTGTTAAATAATTGGTCGTAGGTTTGAATCTTACTTAAGGAGATTTGATTCGGATGATTGTTCTTTAGTTGTCTTTCTTTAATGGTATAAGAAAATCAAAATAGATACATAACTAATTAGTATTGATTTTTTTCAATAAAAAAAACTTTCTTAATTTCAATTATAAATTATATTATAATAATATAACAATAATTATGAGTTTATGTAAGCCCATAACATAAGTTCTTACACAACTCTAATTATCTAATGAAGTATTTTACCTATCTAGATATGATTTTCATAAGGAATAACTAAAAAATTATCATTTTCAATTTTTCATTGAAAAGATTAAAATTAAAGTAAAAATAAAATTTTTGATAGAGTATGCCATGTGTTATCTCCACTACAGAGCTATAATGTAATAAAAAAAAAGACATATATAAATAGAAATACTATATTTGCATATGTTTAATAAATTCAAGCTCTATTTTCATACGCACTTCAATTATATTCTAAATATTCTACTAAAAATTAAAAACTAAAAAATAGGTAAAAACATCTATGTTCTCTGCGAATCCTCTTTTGTACAAAACAATGGAATCTATGAAAAAAATCAAGTGCTAGAAAAATCAACTCTCTCCCAATATATATTTGATCATTGTTTTGTCTTTATCTCAATGAATAGATCAAATCAAGATAAGCTCCTCACACCCAAATAAAGAAATGGTTAATCACTACAACAAATTTAGCCATTAATAGTGCATGCAATAATGTCACTAAATATTTGTTTTTCTTCACTATATATATTCCATAATAAAAAATTAAATGTCACGATGTTTGTCATATTTACGTTGTCGCTAAAAGTCTAATGTGATGATATCAAAATTTCATCACCTATTGTGAATCTAAAGTGATACTAAAATCAAATGTCACCTTATGTTTTTTTTTTTTTTTGTGATATTAGGTTTCATCAGCTATATATGAAAAAAA